TTCCGCGTACTTACTTAATTAAGATGGTGATGTCATCACTCCTCCCAATAACCCAAGGGCAATCATCTCCTGGAAAAGAGAATGGTAGAAGCTGCAATCATACTAGCTGTATAACCAGTCAGTTGTGTCGAGCTGCCGTTTATAAGTTTGGGCGGCTTAAGTAATCCAATCACCTTCTCCGCACCAATCATCTGCTTTTGTCTGAGGCTTTCATCAAGAACCAAATTCCTACAAAAATCAGAAATCAATGAGTCATCTAGTAAGTATCATTAGCGACACGATAATTAATTCTAAGTTACTGTTTGGTAGCTACTTTACCCGACTATGATTTGTTTGAATGCCCAAATTGAGAATAATATGTAGAGACTAGGGTACTTTTGGTGGAAGTAGCTAAAGCTGATTGTTATAGACGTTTTCTTACTCCTGCCCCTACGTTATCTACATATTTTTTTTTTCAAGTAGACCATCTACCACACTTAATATTCTTCCCATGCAGGAGGTCTTGAGTTCAACTCACCAAGAAGGTCCATTTAGGAGGCTTTTCCCAAATGATGACCCTCTAGCCCCTTGGGGCTAGTTCGAGTGGTCGTGCAATGAGTATATCATCTCACATTAAGCGATATTGTGTGAGTAAGCTTCTTCCTAGGATGCTGATTGTGTTTGATCAATCAGTAACTATTCTTCCTTCGAAACCCAAGGACACGCGTAAACAATCATTTAAGAACGACTTCTTGTGCACAGAGATGTAAACGGTGGAGGGAACTCAGCGGATTGTTCGAATGACTTGGATTTATTTATCTCGAGTGTTTGAGGTGGGTTCTAGGGAGCTCAAGATTGGTCCGGTGAAGTCGGAAGCACCTCTTGCTAACAAACAAAATACATACTTTTTTATCCTTCCCGAAACTATTACTAATTGTTTACGGAAAATGATAATAAGTGGCCCACCCTATTTTTTCTGTCTTCTAAATAAAACTTAGCAGCACATACTTCCCTTTCTTGAACTCCATGCCCGGTCAAAGTAAGCAATAGTTTAGGATCGGGCAGTAAAATTTTTTCCTCAAAATATATTTACTTCATTATCCAGAGATTTAAGCAACTAAATCAATATTAACCACAGTTTCAGAAACTTTAGCAAAATTGAAATTTATTTTCCAAAAGCAGCTAACCTGAGCAATGTTGCCAATCTTGAAGGAGTACAATCATTAAACAAGGCTTCTGGTATAATAGCTGAATCTAACAGGATGTTAGGAAGAGAAATGTAGGACACTTTAGCTTTGTAACGTATGAACAATTCTGTTAGGAGGTGCGCTCGATAGGCGACAACACAGGGTAGGCGTGCTAGCTGCAACTCCATGGCCACCGTCCCAGAAGTGCATAGTGCTACATTGCTACCCTGTATTTACACCCAAAAAAATTGGCAGATCATCAAATCATCCTGCAATAATTAGTCTCTAATTACTCTAAGGTATGCTTGTACTAGGAATTTGGATCATGGAAAATGCTAGGGAAGGGGGAAAATAATATTTGAACTTTTTAGTTTATGTTTGGCTTTAGCTTGGGAAATGCATTATCGATAATCAAATATGAAGTACGTAGTATAAACTTATTTTCAAAAAAATATGTTTCCGTAATATAATACTACCTCCGTCCCATTAATATTGGGATGGAAGGAGGTGCACACTTATTAATAAAAGTGGGTTTATGTGGTTGATATTAATTGATAAAGTAAGAATGATTTAGAGCCACACAAACTTTGCAAATTTGATATGAGACAATTTTAGTGGGATTTCCCGAAAAGGTAAAATGGGACAATATTAGCAGGGCGGAGGGAGTAATAGAAATCGAGTGGTGAAGAATGATATGGTACTTCCTGAATCCTGAGTTAGATCATATGACTTTGGATAGAGTGGAATGGAGTGGAGAGAGTATGTGTGCGCACTGATTTGTTTGACTCCATTTCAATCTATTTATTACTATAATATTTACTATTATTATTGTTTATTTTTGTTTACTAGCCGACCCCAAACTCTATTCAGATTAAGGATGTTTTTACATGGACTGTAATTTGTTGGTCAGGTCTGGTCTGGTCTGATCTGGTCTGAACTGGTCTGGTAATGTCTGGTCTCTTTGTATTTTTATAACTATCCAGGTCTGTTCTGGTCTAAACTGGTCTGATCTAGTCTGGTCTGGTCTTGTTTGGTTTGGGACAGATTACAGTCCACGTAAAAACATCCTAAGGCTTGGATGTTGTTGTTATATAATAAGCCGTAATAGAGTTCTTTTAGTAAAATTATGCATCAGGGATAGTCAAATAGAAAGAATTTTTCAAAAAATAAAATCAAAATTGACACATACTCAAGTTTCATATCATTTTTATAATAGAAATAGTTTCATAAAATGAATTTTAATTTGCAAGCCACAAGTGCCCTTACACTGAAAGAGTCGTACTTCATCTGGGGTGACCCTCCTGGAACCAATACAACAGATGTCGGCCAGTCACGGGTAGCTTCGCTTATGAAATTCTCCACATGTGAATTAGGTGCAACCAGGATAGCAGTAACCATCTCCGGAAATGAATCTTGTAGTTGATTCATGGTGTCACTGAAGATGGGAAGCATTCTAGTGACCTCTTGCAATCTGCTTCCAGGAAGCAAGGAAATGACTTTCAATCCTTCAGAAGTCGAATCACAACTACAAAGTTAGTCAAATGTTCTAAGACAAGAGGCCATTACATTTTTCTATGAACAAATTCTTTGCATGCAAAGTAATATAGTTTGGTATTAAATGAAAATGGAAAAGAACACCGCATTACCAGAAATGGACAAGTAGCTATACCTGTTGGTATTCCATGGTCACTCCTAAACTTTTCTGCATTCCCCTTAACTTTCCACCCATATTCTGTGAGATCTTTCCCCTGAAAAAGATTCCTTCAACTCAGTAAACATTGGAAATATGTGTAAGATGAGAGAAATAAGCACAAAATGAAATACATTTGGTAATTTTCTATTCTTACATAAATTACTCTTTGGACATTCAAGCAAAATGCAAGGAAGGGAAATAGGAGGGACAAGTAGGAGAAATTTGGAAGATGGAAAGTGTGGAGGAAAATAAAACATTGGTTCAAACTCCATAAATTTATTTCTAGCATCTGTTCAATATCATTTTTTTCTATTAGGTAAACGCTAGCAAATCTAAACTTACTTTAAAATAATTATCGATTGATCATATTTCATTTTTGTTAGGTAAAACCAAAGTATGGAACATGAGAAAGTAACTCTGTACTTTCTTTCCTTTCCCGACCATTCCGGGATCCAGTTCCAAACATAGCCTATATGTTTGAACCCAAAAAAACTTTTCAAGGAGAAAATACACCCAGCTTAGTGGTCCAAAAGGCATTATATCGAACAAGGCCAAACATCGCTAATTAGGACAATGGAGTAAAAAACTTCGCATTTAGAACCAATTTGACTATATTATTCCCTAATTGCAAAATTTTAACACCTAAAAACTAAGTTTCACCTCAAACTCAAACATATCGTCAAGTGTGGGGTGGCCTACAAAGGTTGCAGCTAAACCATTTGATCTACACACTTCAGCCTCAAAGGGAAGGATACACAAGACGTGGTCCACAAATTCAGCCAGTCCACCCAATCTACCTTCACTGCCTTTCCAGGCCCAGAATGATGGTGCAACATAATGAAAATGCAAAGGGCCGATCATCCCTTGTTGTTTCCTGTACCTAGCTAAAACACATTTTTTCCAGTGTGTGGAGGAAAAGAACTAAAAATAGAATTGTCCGTATTAATCAAAAGTGAAGCCGTGTATTACCTCGCAAGTGCTTTAGGAAACGGAAGGTGAATCCCTTTGCATCTACTGTTAATACAGCATGAGGCCGAAATCTAAGAGCAGCCTGCACGGCTTCTTCCAATCGAAGCTGTGATTCCAATGTAGAATGTATTTATATAAACAGACTACCAGATGTAAATAAAGATATAAATAACATATAACTATGTGGAATACTCTGAACTGATTAAGATGTGGCAGTAACTCCCAAATACCCATCACTGCTATATCCTCCATTGGAAAGACAGAGGTTAACCCTTGCTTTGACATCATATGCCTGAATAATAGTCCAATTAAAGAAGAAGAAAATGATATTGAATGAGGTAACAGGTACCATGAAATATTTACTAATTTTCTAGAAACTTCCACCTTTTGTTTCCTTCCTATGGAAAAAGAATTAAGTTTACCAGATACTCTGTATATAACAGCAAAAAAATGTGACTAGATCAGCATTAGATTCGAAGCAGCCAACTCTCGGCTATAAAGCTCTACTAGTTAGAGTACTACAAATGGGGAAAAAAATAAAAATGTAAAATAAGAAATACGTAGAGATATAATAGCATTACCCTCCAACTCCAGCAAAGCGTACTGGGAGAGGAGAGAGCTTTTTGATGGAGACCATAACACGAGAAGCAATGGAGTCGCCGGAAACCTCCCCGGCAACAATGAACAGCCGGAGTTCTCCGTCACCGGAAGCCGATTCGACGGTGGATCGGCTCGAAGCCGTGAATGACACTGCCCTTTTCGTCAGTAGCCGCGTGAAGTTCCTAGCATTCGATTGCCCAACCGTTCTGGGCACCATCGCTCACTTCTCCGTGTATCGATCGGCACCACAACAGAGAAAACAATTGCGTGGGTACGGAGTTGGAATAAAAGAAATAGTAGAGGCTTTATTTGATTAATGGAAAGTTAAAATATCGCGCAAGAAGTCAAAATCACCCCAGGAGAGTTACTGCCGACTGGACTGTTAAAAATCTCAACTTTTCTTCAGTTATTTGGTGCGATTTAGCCGGAAAGAGTCGGCAGATCAGAGAAAGAGAGAGAATGGGGGTGAACCAGCAGAGATGTGGACTGAGGGTGGTGAAGGCGGTGCTTTTGGTTATGGGAGTGTGCTTGGTGGGATATATTCTGGGTCCGCCATTGTATTGGCACCTCAAAGAAGGCTTAGCAGCAGTCAGCCGTTCATCTTCTTCCTACTACTCGTGTCCTCCTTGTACCTGTGACTGCAATTCTCTACCCCTTCTCTCCATCCCTCAAGGTAAATCCCCTTCTTTTGTCGGGATCTGCTGAGATCCTTCTATTTCATCTGTCTTAAGCTATCTGGGCATGAATGCTTTTGAGTATACAGTGCAAATCTTTCATTATCTGGTAAATTTTAGTTCATGTGTTGAGTAAAGCTGCAGTCTTTCTCCTTTTCACGAATTTTTCCAATCTACTCTTTTAGTACCCCCCCCCCCCCCCCCAATACGAAATCACTAGTGGGTTTTCGGGTCACTTTTCCTTTAATGCTGAAGTAAGTATTGAATAGATAGCGTTTAAACGGTTGTTAATGGAGCTCATAGAACTGTAGAAGTTCAAATTAACGTCGTATACACTTTTTTAAAGCTCCTAAAAGTTGCTTATTTTCCCATTTAGATGCCATTATGTCAGGTGCAGTGATTGTGGGTTTCTATAATGATAATAATACACAGCCTTGCCCTTATTAGAGCAGCTTTAGTGCTCCGGTGGATTGATCAAAATGTAGCTTTCTACTATTAAGTAAAAATACATACTAGTACTTCATAATAGATACTTAGACCATAGTTGAGCATAAAATAGATCCTTGGCCAAAATTGGAAGTGTGAGAACTTCATTTAGTAAGAACTTCCTTTTCAAACTAATAAATCAGACAATGTCATTCTTTTGTTAACTTCCTGTCTTCCTTTGTTATTTTAATGGTTGTTTCCTTAGAAAAGAGTCTCAAATGTCTTTTCAATTTAAAAAACAGTGTAATTTCACGAGCATGACTGGGAAATGAAACGAAAAAGAACTTAAATCAGTAAAGGGTCTTGGTGCACCAGTATGAGAACAACCTAACCTATTATAGTACTGCTATTAGAAATATTAACTCAAACAAAATAGCTGTACTAATATAAATCTACCACTACCAATGATAAAATAATAATTGTAAACTAATACTCCGTACTAATAATGGGAATTAACAATAATAGGAATCCTTTTTCACAATACGTCTACAAAATCTTTTTGGACGGCTCTATGAGATTTGCCCTGACATTTAATGAACCAGTACATGCAGGCCTAATGCTGGAAATGGATTTTGTCCTTTGGGTTATATATGATTCTATACTAGGCTGTAAGGAGCTTGTTTGGTTAAAATATTTTTGGGGGGTTAATTTGTATTCTACTAATATATCTGTATCTGACATTAATTTTTTTTTCTTTATTGCAGGATTAAGTAATGCTTCCTTTTCAGGTTAGTGACACAAACACAATATTTCCTCAGTATTTTACTTGAGTCAGAAGAATTGTGCTGGTGTTTGTGTTAGCGGTCTTATGTGAAACCTGAAAAATTTATGTCATTTCAACAATTGGTTTAATACAATCGATCAGGATTATATTCAACTATGATCACCATCTTCAATTGGTTATATCAGCTTTTGTTTAGGTAATATTTTATAAAAAGTGGTTTTAAAATAAATAAATCCGTGTAAGTGCAAAATAACATTTAGGTTTTACTAGGTAAAATAGGTGTGAATACAAACAGCTGAATGAAAATTGAAATCATAATAAGCTACAAACTCTCAGGCGTCTCAGCGTAAATGAACAGCTTATAATATAAAAGGCCTCTTATTAATTTAAGATTATAAGTGTCACAAACATGCTCTAACTGTCAATTGCACTTGAGTTTAGTTCTTCCAATGCTTTTGATGATGCAGTTCGATCTTATAGAACAGTATGCTGGTTATGAGCATTGTTCAACACCTCCTTTGGATTGAAATTTGGAAGTATTGCTCACTGATTGTGTCTATGAGCTTGTTGTTTTAGAAAACCATAGCCATGAGGACATATGTAGTTGAATTTTATTTTATATTAATAAGATTTTCATGTTTTCAAGTCGAAAAACAATGTGATGGGTGACATTTGATAGAATTTCCCTCCATTTTCCATTTTTTCACATTTCACAGATTGTGGAAAGCATGATCCCGAAGTGGGTGAAGACACGGAGAAGAACTTCGCAGAGCTCTTGTCTGAGGAATTAAAGTCGCGAGAAGCTGAAGCCTCTGAAAACCAGCACAAAGCCGACATTGCACTGTTAGAGGCAAAGAGGATGACATCTCAGTACATGAAAGAAGCAGATAAGTGCAATTCTGGGATGGAGACTTGCGAGGAGGCCAGAGAAAAGGCCGATGCGACCCTACTGGCACAGAAGAAGGTGACTGCAATGTGGGAGTCGAGGGCACGCCAGATGGGGTGGAAGGACAAGACTGCCAAGTCTCAATGAAGCCCATCATGTACATCTGATTCAAAATGTTTCCACTACGAGATTCAGCTTCAAGGCTCTCTCATTTCTGAAAGATCATGAAAATTTCTCTCATAACCCAAAATTTATTTCTTGTTTTGTAATATGTTATAGGTAAATAGGAGTATAATATCATTTGCCTTGTGAGTCTCTACCAAGTAGTAGTATAGAAGTTTTTTTACTAACATTTTGCTGAAAATGTGTCAGAAAAAATGTTCGTTCTTTTAAATAGCATGAATATTTCTTTTAAAATGTTTTTGGAAAATAATATGGAATGAGAGATTATTTGTGGATCCTTCATAATTCATACTTCATAGAAACTACTGGTGGACTCGGGTCGGGCCACCTGGCCCATGGACCGGACCGGCCTGGTTCTCGGGTCCGGGTCGGGCCTAGGCCCGGGGGGAGGGCGGGTCCGGGCTCGGGTCTCACATTTGGCGAAACGGCCGGGTCGGGCCCGGGTCTCACATTTGGCGAAACGGCCGGGTCGGGCCCGGGTCCGGGCCAAATTGATTTTTTTTTTCATTTTTTGGGGTTCCACCCGGGTTGGGCTTGATGGTTAGGAGGGGTTTGGGGGGTTTGGGGGTTTGGGGGGGTAGGAAAGCAAAAAAAAATACCCAAACCGGAGGCCCGGCCCGGACCCGGACCCGGTGGCTACCCGGGCCGGTCCCGAGTCCACCAATCCTGAACCGCCGGCCTGCCCGGGCCTAGGCCCGACCCGGACCCGTCCCGGACCGGGCCCATCACTAATAGGAACACATGTGTGCATATTCTCTTCACCAGATTATCTGAAATGTAACTAATGTCACGTACTCACATGGAGTCCATTAAACTTGTATGCCACTCAAATGGGCTCATTAAGCATAATATGTTGTTCTTAATGGTTTCTTGTCAAACAACAGATTTCGTGTGCAATATAATTTCCGTCCATAACATAGAAATACTTTATTTTTAAAAAAGGGAAATTTATTAGACTGATTAAAACATGGTCAGTTTCCTATATATCAATATAAAAAGTAATATGACTAAACATAATTACATAATTAATGACACCAAATGCCCTAAAAAATATTTGCCGTACGAATCTAATGTTACTTTTCTTCTCGATAGTATCAATACTCTTCTCATTGCGTCTAGGGATGGACCCGGACGGAGCTGCCCGACTCGATACCCGGCGCTATTGATTAGGCCCGGTCCAGTTTTTCAGGACCGGTACCAGGCCCGGTACTCGGCCCAGTGCATAAATATTGGGGTTCTTTATTTTAAGTATTTTCCCAAATAAGGGAAATATTGTAAAAATCTCAAAATAGCTAGGAGTATGCGATTTAAATTGGGGGTGGAGAAATGAATACATAACCGTGGGTCAGACCAGATAATACAGGTTTGGGACTTTGGGGGCAAGTTAGGGCCATCTCTAATTTTAGAAGAATAATATGAGGCGGGGCGGTACACTTGGAAGCTCTTCATACTCATGTGTTTTAGACAAAGACTCTTAATTCAGTGGAGGAATCAACTTGGGGATTAGAGCTGTCATGCAAACGGGTCAACCCGACCCAACCCGACCCGACCCGTGACGGGTTATGCTTTATGTGGGTTGGGTCGGGCCAACCCGTTTAGTGACGGGTCAGAATTTCTACAACCCTAACCCGACCCACCTAAATAGTGGGTTAAACAGGTTGGTCCGCGGGCCAATGTAAAAATACCTATATTTTTTAAACGAACTACGTTCCGGTTAGAAAATTCACGGACGAACTACATTCCAGTTAGAGAATTCACTAAACCCGTTTAGTGACGGGCTCATGCATGAAGAAGATGCTCACAAAATTTCACGGACAAACTACGTTCCGGTTAGAAACTTCTTGAAACGAATATTTGTGCTTCAATTTGGTCATCGATCAAATGATTCTTGAAAGTACCTCAGGACACGATTTTGGTACCTTAACTCTTAAATGAATCAAAATATTTCACAGTGGTGAGGGCATATCATGTTTCCGACTTGACACGGGCAGCGTTCGACGAGGTGGATTTCGGGTGGGGAAAGCCGGCTTACGGCGGAGTTGCCAAGGGAGGTGTCGGTGCCGTCCCCGGGGTATCATTTAGTTTCTATGTACCATTCAAGAATGGAATCGTGCTTCTAGTAAGCTTACCTGCTTTTGGCTTTTGCAATGGAAACATTCGTCAAGGAGGTGGATGATATGCTACTGTCTAATCTTTTATAACACTTTGGGACAATAATGTTAAGGTTATTACTTTTTGTTATAATTAGGTTTTTTGGGTGAAATGCATAAATATTACCTTAAATATTATATTGGTAGCATTGCGTTTTGGTACCTTAACTTTTAAATGAATCAAATCGGTACCATAACTATATATACTTTCTCCGTACCACTAACAATGAGACAAAAAGAAGTGACACGCAAATTAATTACTCCCTCCGTCCCATTTATATTGTCCCGGAAGAGGGTGGCACGGTTATTAAGAAAAGTGGGTTTGTGTGGTTGATATTAATTGATAAAGTAAGAATGATTTAGAGCCACACAAACTTTGCCAAATATGGTATGGGACAATATAAGTGGGATTTCCCGAAAAGGTAAAACGGGACAAAATAAATGGGACGGAGGGAGTAGTAAAAAATGGTTTATATGATTGTTATTGAATTGATAAAGTAAGAATAAAGTAAGAATCATTTAGAGCCACACAAACTTTAATTACCAAATTTGATATGAGAAATTCTTAGTGGGAGATACCAAAAATGTAAAATGGGATAATCTTAGCGGGATAGGGGAAGTATAATGTTGCAACTAACAATATTATTCAAATTTCCGGCCAAAGAATCATATGTGGTGACCGAAATTCTATACATTAAAATATGAAATCCACTACACCTTACTTTTGTCCACGTCTTCCCTGTATGGTAGACTCTACACATGATATTTTGATGGTTGTGTATGATTTTTTTGCCTCAAATTTTAATATTATTAACAATTAAAACATATATATATATATATAGTTTTAAAACAATTTTTTTTTTTTTTTTTTTATCCCGGAAGGCAAACCACCAAAATCAGTGGGGCAAATGCCGGGAGTCATTTGCCGTTATTTTATTAATAGATATTGTTGGAACAATAGAGAGGGGGATGAAACCGAAACCTCCCCTAGGAGGCATACCTCCAAAAAATACAAGCTAGACGAAGAAATATATATATATATATATATATATATATATATATATATATATATATATATATAATATGGACTGAAATTGAAGATGTTCTTTAATCTAGAATTTCATTTAAAATGCACAAGGAATATATCTAATTTATTCCAAATGAATGGGATCATGTAGAAGCATGTTAAACCGCCACAAGATATAATGGATTAACAATTAACATCGTCCATTGTTTTTGACATGTGAATCAGTCTATCTAAAATCTAGAGAATATGTGAATCTGGAGAATTATTTTCATTATGTTATGTTCATAAGATTAAAGGGGATAATTAAGAAGTAGAAAGATCAGAGAATGCGGCCCTTGGAGTACAATGCATGAAGACGAGCATTATATTGGACAGTGATAAAGCTGATCTGAAACACCTTGAATTGACAACCTTAAACACATAAATAAAATAAAATGAACTAAAACCCTTTCATATATAAAAATAATACAATGCTGATTTCTACATGAAAATTCAATAATTTAGGCATTAAAAGAATAAAACTCATACCGAGCCATCAATTAAACTACATTTTAATTTTAACTTATTCCTATACAAGTTTATACCCATATTTGTCAGTACTACGGAGTATAATTTAAAAATGTTTGATTGTTTAAATGATCAAATTGCATATAGGATGAAATGTGTAATGTATTTCTTTCATTATATAAGTGTGTAAATATAATCAGATTTACACAATTATATAATGAAATCTGATTTGATAATAGGTGGCGTGCAATTTTAAAATTGCCCTGCACAAAATAAAACCTTATAAATCATAATCAAGTGTATTGACGCGTCAATATGCAATTTTGTCAATTGTGTACGTTGTATGTTAATAATACACCTACAAATATATGCTATAAAAGTAATGCATATTTGTATATCCGATCCTCTTAGAGCATCTCTAATGCTATAATGTGCACAGTGCACATGTGGCATGAGTGATAGCCACATAAATATTAGCATATAAATTATCTCTCTCCTTATTTGAATGATTTTATACAATTTTGGTAAGTTTTTCCCTGCAATGTCAATAACAATGTCAACATCTAGACGGTCTCCTTGACATTGTGGAGAAAAACTTACCAAAACTGTATAAAATCATTCAAATAAGGAGAGAAATAATTTATTTACTAATATTTATGTGGCTATTTCTCATGCCACGTGTGCACCGTGCACATTTTACCATTAAAGATGCTCTTATTATCGATCAATAACGTTGCATGTGTTTAGTGATTTTTCTATATATAAAAATAGTGCCATATTTGTAAGTAATGTTTTATATAGGGAGATCTCAATAACTTTCAAGGCAAATACCAAAAGACAGGTTCAAAAATCCTCCCACCATAAAATTTTACAGAAATTGCCCTAAATAGGAGCAAAAACGTTTTGAAATTCCAAAATAGGAGTATCATGTTTTTTATTCCCTGAATAGGGGTAATCTGTCAAGTTTGAAAAAGTGCCATGTTAAAAGTCTTGTAATGCCAAACTTGGCAGAAATTTACTCATATTTAGGGAATAAAAAACATGATACTCCTATTTTGGAATTTCAAAACATTTTTACTCCTATTTAGGGAATTTTCTCAAAATTTTATCTAACCCACACGTATTCAAACACAGTTCCCAATTCCTTAAATAGTCTCGCTTTACATCTAAGAACATTTTAAACTACTTTTATTGAACTAAAAACTCTAACAGATTGATACTACATAACTGTATTAGATATAAAAAATTTAAATTGCTTGTGTAACTGATCAGATTTATTTATATAAAAATCCAGTGGTCCAATTTGTAGAAGGGAATAATTGTAAAGAGGAACATAATATTAAAATTTAGTAGTCTTTTCCGCATGTTGAAGCTTGTTCCATGTTGGAAGTGGTCGAATGGTAAAGCTACATAAATCAGGACGAAAAAAATCAATACGGATTATTAACAAAAA